CATGTGATTGCCTTTGGGGTCTTTGTCATCAGTAAAGAGTGAGAGTCTGATCCTTCTGTCCATTTGGACATCCCGTATTCTCTCTCTTGTCTGATTGCTGTAGAGACTTCCAGCATATGTTGAACAGGAGTGGAGATAGTGGGAACCTTGTCTTTCTTAAATGGGAGATGCTTTCAATTTTCCATTCAGTATGATATTGGCTGTGGTTTGTTCATGTATGGTGTATCATTTTTTAGGTAAGCCCGTCGTATGCGCTATTGTTGTTGAGGCTTGTATCATAAAAAGGGTGTTGAATTGTGTCAATGCTTTATCTGACGTCTATTGAGAGGATACTATGGTCTTTGTTTTGCTTCTGTTATATGGTGAATTATTATAGATTTGCATATGGTTTGAACCTCCTGTCTTGGGCTGAAGCCCAAATATGGTTGTGAATGATTTATTTCTTGACAAGCACTGGATTTCGTGGCTAGGATGTTCTTGAGAATTTTTAACTATATCCTAAGGATATTGGTATTAATTTATTCTTTTTTGTTGCTTCTTTCCTGGTTTTCATATCAGGGTTATGTCGTTTCATAAAATTGTGAGAATTCCATTGCTTCTCGATGTTGTAGAATAATTTCTGCAGGATAGGCACCAGTTCTTCCTTGTAGGTGTGGTAAAACTTTGGTTGTGACACCATTGGGTCCAGGACTTTTCTTTTTAGAAGGTGTTTTTATGCTGTTTCAATTTCAGTGCTTGTATTGTCTGTTAGGATTATTGTTTTCCTGATTGACTCGGAGCTGTTGTGTTTCTAAGAAATTCCGATTTTCTACACATTTCCAGTTTGTGTGCATAGAGGTTTTTGTATATTCCAAATTTAGCTTTTTATTTCTATGGCATCAGTTGTAATTTCTCTTATTGTTTTGATGGTCCTTATTGAGATTTTTCTTTTCTGCTTTGTGTCTTTGCAAAAGTGTGTCAATTATTGTTTATTTCAAAAACCATTTTTGTTTATTAATTTCCTGTGGTATTGTTTAGTTCTATTGTTGTGTTGTTGGTGTTTCTCGTTGTCTTTAGAGATGATTAGGTTGTCTTCTTTTTCTTTAAGTATTTTTTTGTTGTAATTATCCTCTCAAGATCTGTTGTAGTGTGTGTTATTTGTATCCTTTTCCTTTAGTTCAGTGTATTTCCTTTTCCTCGTGTTACTGATCTTGAAGAAGGTCATTTAGTTCTATGACTGAGTGGTCTGTTGTTGATTTGTTCATTGTGTTTGAAAGTTATCGTTAATTTTATTTAAGTTTTGTGGACGTATCTATAGATGTTGGATTGAGTTGAGAAAGAAGTCAGTGTTTTAGTGGTTGTTTGGTCGACATTTGTTCGCAGTTGCGTTTTTCTGTTGGAGGATGTGCGGTGGTAAGTCTCGTTATATGGCTTGTGTTATAGTAGTAGTTTTCTGTATAATCTGGGCACACGTAGGATTGGGTTTGCATATAATTTAATTGTTATGTCTTGTGTGACTTACCTTGTTTTTTTAGTTTCTTGTTGTGTTATTACTTTTGTTGATTCGTATTCATGCAACTCTAATACCGCTGATTTTAGTTCGTCTAATTAGCCCTTTTACGTGATTGGTATGATGGCTGCAATGGCAGCTGTTACACTTGCTTGTGTTTTTATTCCAGTGTTATGTCTCGTTGAGTGTTGGTTCAAACGTATTCATGATGGTAGAAATAGTGTAGATTTCTGGCTTGTTGGGTTGAATTTGTTGCTGTGTCTCTTTGCCATTGTGCGATCTGGCTTGATCTTTAGTTATGATGTTTATGTGCGTCATGAACACTGTTTTGAGTTTCTTGAAGGGCTCGGTCTTGTCTTGGTGAATTCTCTCAGTCTTTGTTGATCTGGACATGTCTTGGATTTCTCCTTCATTCAACTTAGTTTTTCAGGGAATAGATCTCTTAGACTGGCATTGTTCTGTTTAGAAAGAGTGAGATGGGACCAGTCTCTCTTGTTGTAAGTCTCAGTTAGGAGAAGTCTGGTGTTATTTTGATTGGCTTTCCTTGTTTGTTATGCTTCTTGGTCTTTAGATGCTTAGAAGGGCCTCTTTAGTATATTTTCGTCAGTTCTGCATAACTGGATGGTCATGTGTCTTTCTGTTTGCTCAAAATCTCCCAGGGGTCATTGAGTGTCTTGAACTGTCTATATCGAGGATTTTTAGCAAGCCTAGGAAATCTTTCCTCTATGTTATTTCAAATAGCTTATCAACCTGAGTGTTTCTTCTTCCTCTTCTGGTCACCTGTGACCGGTCAATTAGGTTTCTCAATAATCCACATCTCTTATGGCTTGTCTTTGTTCTCTTATGTCTGCTCTATCTCTGTGACTGATTTATTTAATTGGAGTGTTATTTCAATCTCTGAGATTCTTCTCTTCTGTTTGATCTTACCTGTTATTGAGGTTTCCACTGCATTTTGTAGTTCTGGAGTTGAATGCCTCATTTCTAGGAGTTCAGGTCTTGTTTTTCTTCATTGTTTATTCTTAGTGAATTTTATGTTAGGTCTGATGTCTTTTTGTGTTTTCTTTGTGTTGGTTATCAGTTGTGCTTGCAGTCGTTGAATTTTTTTAACAATCCACATTCAAAGATTCCTTCTGCTGTCATTTTGGTTGCCTGATTTTGGCTTGGTTCTGTTTCTAAGGGGCTTGTGCTCCTGCTTTGGGGTGTGTTATCCTTTTGGTCTTCATATGGACGGTTCCTTGCCTGATTTCCTCCTATCTGGATCGCTCGCTCTGTCTTGCTCTTAGGTTGTTTGGTTAGGTATTGACCGCCCTGTTTTGTCTCTTAGCAAGTAGGTGGTATGTTGTGGGTGGATTCAACGCACCCTTGTATGATGAATCCAGTAGTGCATGGAAGAACGGGATGGGCAGCATGTCCTCACCTGTGTAAGTGGCGGCCTTGGCTCAGGAGGAACAGGCTTACTTGTGTAGCTTTTGGGTCTTGTATCCATTCTTTGTCTTGGAAGGCATAGTGCTTAGGTGGTGTGGGGCCTTGGATTCAGTGTGTCCTTTTCTCGCCCTCAGTGGAGGTGGTCTGGGCGTAGTCTAGACGGAGCTTTGCTATGTAAGTCATGCCTTAGGCATCCCAATGCTGTTAGCAGTAGGTCAAGGTTCTGGTTCTCTTCCAAGGACAGCGTGTCAGGGAGGGGCTGGAATGGCTCGCCGCTCAGTCAGAAAGTCCTGTGTGTACTGCGGTGCGCGTTCTGGACCACAGTCATGGAGCGCCCTTGCTCCTTTCCACCCTCCCCAACTCCCGGGCTATCCTGAGCCTCTGCCAGCGCAGACTCATGCAAGGCCTCCTGGCTATGATGCCTGCGGAGGTTCCTGCGTGGGAACGCCGCCTGGCTGGGGTACACAGCCCCTGTGGGAGGGGGTTGGCCTCAGGATGCTGATCTGGCCCTGAAGGCACACACACTCAGTAGGCGTTTATGTAATTTTTTTTTCCTTTGTGCCCCGGGCAATGTGAGACCTGGGTGCATGGATCTGGTCTGCAGGTACTGACTTGGGCCTGGAGTTCAATCCCTGACACAGGAGAGAGTGCATGTTCCTAATTCACCTGCAGGCCAGCTGGAGTTGATGTTTCTTAGGCCTCATTCGTTGCCCGTTCTCCTTCACCAGGGCAAGCAGAGCTGGAGCAGTGGATAAGGATTCACCATCTGATTCCCTCGAGTCAGCTGTAGGGCCCAAAGAGGGTCCGTTTCTGGAAGTGCCTCTGCTGTGGGGTGTATTGTCTCTCTTGGCAGCATGGATAGGGACCAGGGGAGGGAGATGAGGCAATATGGGCGCGGTGACTCGAGCTCTTGGGTCCTGTGCAAATGATGCCCAGGATTGCAGGCCTGGTCTCTGAACATGTCCGCTACAGGCTTACACTCACTGCGCGTGGCCGTCTTCTGGGCTGGTGTCGCGTCTCTCAACCGCTGTGGTGTTAGGGAACGGCCTCACTCAACCCCACCGAATCCGAAAAAGCACTGGGTGTAAATCCAAGGGAGTTTATTGTGTCTAGCCAGGCGTCCAAGCCTTCGAGCGCAACGCAGTTGGTTGCTCTCCTTACGGCAAGGGATCCCACTAATTGCGGGGGCCTTTTATTCCCCCCCCAAAGGGCCTAGGCGTGCACAACATTACAGCGTG